GAGAGATTATTTTTTATTCCTACATATTATCATAGAAGTCATGGTAAATTGTGTTTTTTTTTCTGTCAGTAACTAGTTGCTTGACAAAGTCCTTCAATTTCAGAAGGATTTTACATTGTTTTAGTCATTTAGCAGACACTCTTATCCAGAGCAACTTCCAATTAGTGAGTGCATACACTTTTCATACTGGCCCCCCGTGGGAAGGATCAAATAATGGTTTTTAAAATTATTCAATGTTTTACCCCGTTGGCGCTGTTAGGGTTAATACACTATAAGTGTATTTATCCAAATACTTATGACACCTTCAAATGGGGGGACAAGATGCATAAAGTGCTTTCATTTCTAAATGGTAAAACAAATATGTATGAAAATACCCTCAAATAAAAGGTGACATTCTGGACTGTCACCTCATATAAAACATTTGATCTCTAATCTAAAATGCTGGAGTATAGAGCCACATTAAAAGTTTTAGCTTGACTGTCCAAATAAATACGGAGGGGAATTTATGCGTTTGAACTGGAATTCATCTTTAAATATTTCATTGACATCTGTGATTTACAACCACGATCTGTATCGGTGTGTATCTCACGTCAGTATTTGGACTTTACACATAGCCTTTGTCAACAATTGGTTTCTTACCTTATTAACAAATTATGCACATCTACAGTATTTCTGTATGATTCATTTAATTGATTGAATTTCAGTTATTTTCCTTAATTATAATAGAATTGGCCCAAATATTTATAATAATAATAATAATTTAATTATGATTTTAATTTTAGATCATTTCCAAATCGATTTGACAACCAACAGAGTTTGTCGATGCTATTGTACCTTCTTATGAGGATGTTCTGCGTTATCTTTAATATGCTTTTTCAACACCGAAGGTTTCCGTTTATGTGAAGGTGAGCCATACCCAATCTGATGATGGGATGCCTCACTACTTCAGTATGGACCCTACTACTCTCAGCTATCGGATTTGGTAAGTCAGTTTGACAGACAAAAAAAATCCCAACCTTGGCCCTGATGTATATAAGTGCAGTCCTCTGGTATTTTATATACAAAATAATAAATAAAACGGGATGTTGACGCCAGTCTGTGGGTTCAGTAGCTGGCAGGTTTTAATTTAAACCATCCATAGTTAAACCCAACAAGAACCTAGTTGTTTGATAAGGAATAATCCAGAAATCAATTGATGCCTCAGTTTATTACATCTAACAAAAACTGAAAATAGATTAAATAAGCAACCCAAGATATAACTTTTATAGATTTTTTTGTTCTTTGTTCTGTCAATATAAATATTCAACTGATAATCATGAATGTTTCTTTCCTCCTCATCTCATAGCTACACTGATCTCTGCAGAGGTAGGTTGTCTCTCAATGCCAGATCATTTCACGCTCTTATACTGGTAGATTAACACACTGTAAATAAATCACTCCATTATCAGTGTATTGACATGCGATGTTGTAGTCTGTATTAAAGAATAATGTATTATTATTATACAAATATAATTTGTCTTGATTATTGCTTGTACTACTTATATCCCAACAATATTATGGGCTATATGGTTGTGTTTTTCAGAGTAATGTAACACCCATGAACGGTAGGTAATTTTTTTAAAATATAATTTCAAAAACAATGTGTATTAAGTAGCTACTACCATGTGAATAAACTGGTATTTTGTGATTAGATAACCAATAAATTGGTTAAAAGTTATTTTAAAAAATACAGTTGAATAACATTACATTTTAGTCATTTAGCAGACGCTCTTATCCAGAGTAATTTACACGAGCAATTAGAGTTAAGTGCCTTGCTCAAGGGCACTTAGACAGATTTTTCAGCTAGTCAGCTCGGGGAATCGAACCAGTGACCTTGTGTTTACTGGCCCAATACTCTTAACTGCTAGGATACCTGCCACCCAACAACAAAGCTTTCATTAATCCAATAAGACCCACCAAATGAAAATGACTCAAGACCAACAGCTATATTCCACAACTGCCATTTGTCATTGATTACTTATGACACTTTCATCTATTACTTTCCAAAATCTTAGAACCACAACAGTGGAGCCCGGAAAACAGGTTAGTGTTCAAAGTTATTGTCACTGTTTTTGTTGTGGTAAATTCTATGCCATAACGGCTTTGACTTCTATATAGACAAAATTAAGCCTGTTATTTCAATTTCACCTTTTTTTTTTCTGGACCAGAACGATGAACAATGCCTCGCAAGGGGCCTGCAATTCAACAACACTGAATCAGGCCAGTTCCAGGGTAAGTCTGTCCAGGTAGAGATGAGGTACACAGTTAAAAGGATCGGACTCTTTTTTTCAATTTTCGCCTAAAATGATATACCCAAATCTAACTGCCTGTAGCTCAGGACCTGAAGCAAGGATATGCATATTCTTGATATAATTTGAAAGGAAACACTTTGATGTTTGCGGGAATGTGAAATTAATGTAGGAGAATATAACACATTGGATCTGGTAAAAAACATGCGTTTTTTTTGTTGTTGTTTTTTTGCATCATCTTTGAAACGCAAGAGAAAGGCCAGACAGTGATGTCAGATTCTAGATGTAATTTAGATGTTGTCCACCAGATGGCAGCAGTGTGTGTGCTAAGTTTCAGACTGATCCAGTGAAGAATTACATCACTACACAATATTTTGTATGAAGTCTGCCAGTTTTCCCAAATGTGCCAAATTGGTTTTCAAGTACATAACTATAGAGAACTTAAAAAAATGCTATGGTAATACAATATTAAAGTTTGCACACTCCCAGGAATGTCATAAATGATGGATCATTAGCTTCCCTACAGAGAAGACACTAACCTTCACACATCTAGATGGCCTGGCGGGGTGGGTGTGGAGTCAGAGGTCAAACTGTAGAACCCAGTTCCTACATTTGAATATAAAAATGATTTTCAAACAAAATTACACTACATTTTATCTCTGGGACCCTCAGGATGACAAATCAGAGCAAGATTGCTGAATATACACTACCGTTCAAAAGTTTGGGGTCACTTATAAATGTCCTGTTTTCGAAAGAAAAGCATTTTTTGGTCCATTAAAATAACATCAAATTGATCAGAAATACAGTGTAGACATTGTTAATGTTGTAAATGGCTATTGTAGCTGGAAACGGCTGACTTTTAATGGAATATCTACATAGATGTACAGAGGCCCATTATCAGCAACCATCAGTCCTGTGTTCCAATAACACGTTGTGTTTGCTAATCCAAGTTTATCATTTTAAAAGGCTAATTGAACATTAGAAAACCCTTTTGCAATTCTGTTAGCACAGTTGAAAACTGCTGGTTAAAAAAGCAATAAAACTGGCCTTCTTGAGACTAGTTGAATATCTGGGGCATCAGCAATTGTGGGTTCGATTACAGGCTCAAAATGGCCAGAAACAAATAACTTTCTTCTGAAACTCGTCAGTCTTTTCTTTTTCTGAGAAATGAAGGCTATTCCATGCGAGAAATTCCCAAGAAACTGAAGATCTCGTACAAAACACCAGTAACAACGTCAACAGTGAAGAGGTGACTCCGGGATGCTGACCTTCTAGGCAGAGTTGCAAAGAAAAAGCAATATCTCAGACTGGCCAATAAAAATAAAAGATTAAGATGGGCAGCCTGAGATATGGCTTTTTCTTTGCAACTCTGCCTAGAAGGTCAGCATCCCGGAGTCACCTCTTCACTGTTGACGTTGAGACTTGTGTTTTGCTGGTACTATTTAATGATGCTGCCAGTTGAGGACCTGTGAGGCGTCTGTTTTCAAACAGTTGTGCACCGGGGCCTCCCACTCCTCTTTCTATTCTGGTTAGAGCCAGTTTGCGCTGTTCTGTGAAGGGAGTAGTACACAGCGTTGTACGAGATCTTCAGTTTCTTGGGAATTTCTCGCATGGAATAGCCTTCATTTCTCAGAACAAGAATAGACTGACGAGTTTCAGAAGAAATCTCTTTGTTTCTGGCCATTTTGAGCCTGTAATCGAACCCACAATTGCTGATGCTCCAGATACTCAACTAGTCTCAAGAAGGCCAGTTTTATTGCTTCTTTAATCAGCACAACAGTTTTCAACTGTGCTAACATAATTGCAAAAGGTTTTCTAATGTTCAATCAGCCTTTTAAAATGATAAACTTGGATTAGCAAACACAACGTGCCATTGGAACACATGACTGATGGTTGCTGATAATGGGCCTCTGTACGCCTATGTAGATATTCCATTAAAAATCATCCGTTTCCAGCTACAATAGCCATTTACAACATTAACAATGTCTACACTATATTTCTGATCAATTTGATGTTATTTTAATGGACAAAAAAATTGCTTTTCTTTCGAAAACAAGGACATTTCTAAGTGACCCCAATCCTTTGAACGGTAGTGTAAGTACATTATTTACCTTCAGAGGTGACCAAACCAAACCAGTTGCTGTGATTAAAGTGTTTTGTTGTTGTGCACTATCCTCAAACAATAGCATGGTATTATTTAGCTGTAATAGCTACTGTAAATTGGACACTGCAGTTAGACTAACAAGCATTTAAGCTTTCTGCCCATATTAGACATGTCTATGTCCCAGAAAATTGGCTGTTGTTTTACAACTCCATTCTAGTCAAATATCATATATTGAGCAACAACCGTCCCATTATAAGGGACACCAATCCCGTAGAGGTTAACAAAATAAATCAAGTATGAGTATTATTGGAATCTAGCTTTTACAGCATCGCCACAGTGTCAATGTCTGTGGGGGTTTTTTTTATGACAGAGGCTTCATAAAACGTAGGCCAATGCAGTGGCAGTAATAACAACACAACCTATCAGAACCATAAAAACATCAGCAACAGGGTCCTATTTGTTGTTCGATATTGCCCTCTGGTGTCAGACCAATTTATAGCACCTACACCTGTCATTTATAAACATTTATACGATATTTTAAAACAATGGTTATCTTGTTACATTTGTTCTCTGTATAAATGTATGAATGTATTTATTGTTCTATTTAGATTTTTAAAGCTGTAGACACCCTGACCAACCAACTGTCTTGTGAGGGAGGCGACAACCAAAGCCTTCCTGAAGACATGTTCAGAGAGCTGCAACAAGACCTCAGACAGATAGTGAACTTGGCCTTAAACGTCTTCCTTCATTTGGTACATCATCTTTTCATACTAAGACCTCACTCTGACATTTTATTAAAATAAGAATCAGATTAGTATTTAACTAAGGATCCCTTCACGTTTACACATGGTAATGAATTAAAATCAACACGGATGATGTTTGATTTATCAGAAAGTTTAAACAATGTAAACTGTCCACTTTATTTCAGGGCACCAATGAATCAAAGTCTGAGGTCCTGGATGTCTTTGGAGCTTTGAACAGTCTCAACACTGATAACGTTCAGAGTGTAGAGTTCATCCGCTTGTGGTTCAACATCCAGCTGGTACCTCTTTTACCCCATATTACCGGAGACTTCATGACCCTGTTGAGCACAAGAGACTTCAGCTGCAGCTCCTATCAGGCATTGTGCGTTGACAATCATTCTGATTCCATATTATTAAGGAAATTGTCCAATTCAATGTTGTTTCATCTAAATTATTTTATATTTAAGGGTCAAGGGATTGAGTGGTGAACTGGTATCCATTAATCAAGAGCAGAAACAATTGATCTACACTCACTTTATCCGTCTTTTCCTGTTCAGAAAGGGATCATCAGGTATTTAACATTTTAAGAAAAGCAAAATTTGCAAATTCGCTCCAGTATGTAAGATTTAAATGTGTTGTTAATTTGTTGTTAAATCAATTCCTCAGAATGTAAACTGATGTATGTTTTAATTGTTGTGGCAGATCCTGGATGCTTGGGAAATGGAAATGAAACTGCAGACTGGCTGTTGAAAAATTTTGGAAACTTTTGGAGCATGGCTGATTTAAAGGATCTGTACAAACTAAACCAACATTTCTCTGCGGTGAGTATTTCAAATCAAATTTTAAGCACTGAAGATGGACATGGGAGAATGATGAAAATCGTGACAAAAGACAAAAACCATCATTAATACAAATGTTTTGTCTTCTAGCTGGAGGTTTTGAACGTCCTCTCACCAAGCCAGAAAGCTGAGCTGATACTGGACCCAAGCACTGGCGCTCTGGAGAATGAGACTCTTGTGAAGAAGGTTTTCATCAGCTTGCTGGAATCTCCAAGGGAAGAGCAGCTCAATGAGTTCTTTGTGACTTTTGTTGAAGTCACCAAGCAGGTGAGTACATCACTCTCTGGCTGGAATGGACCTTGTACAGTGAGACAAACTCATCTGACGAAACAATCAGGATGAAAGGATGTCCTTCTAAACCATGAACCATCTATTTTCCAGGAAAACATCACCATCATCACAAACACAGCCGTAAGAGACACAATGCTAAACCTGACCTTGATGGCTCTTGCTCCCAAATTTGACGTCTTTGAGCCAAAAGACTTCCAGCTGTGGTTCCAAGTCAATCTGGTTGTTCTGCTGGCCAGCTTCAATCCTGGCAGATTGGTTGTTATCCCCCTAAACATCACCTGTGAATCCTACAATGCCATGTAAGAGACTACTTTACAACCAACAAACGTACAAGGCACTGTCTCGTAAAGTACAGATTGATTAAAGACTGCACTAATGTCTCCCTTTCCTTTTCTCTCAGATTCACGGGTCTCGACCAAAGTTTGGAATCTCTTCCGCCTCACATCTCACAGGGTGTGGAGTCAAGCTTGGATGCACTGATGAAGACATTCCAACGTATGTGATAAGCTGCTCTTTTTCAACAATAGACACTGTCTCATCTGAGCACAGCATTTGTAGAAGATTTTAAAATCTCCAAACAGTCATTCTGTTATTTTGTTTTCTCATATGCTCCGAAATCTTCCTGTTAATTGAGTGACCTTATTTAAATTATCTCCCTCAAAGGTTGCTCAAGGCCTCCAGCTTTAATTGTGGTAAGTACTCTCTGAATGGGATCTTATTTCAATTAGACACTTTGTTTACATGATACATGGAAAGGTCATGCATCTTGTATATGCATTGTGGCATTGTTCAGAAAGCCAAAGCATCTCTTTTGTTTTCTCATTGAATTTCACACGGATAACAATATTCTTTCCCCCCCATATAGTGCAAAGAAACATTGGTCAATGGTAAGTTCACGTTAGCTGTGACATATTTATTTTCTTTCATCAGATTAGCAATTTATGTTTTGTATCTAAAGAACTCTTCTTTTTATGTTCTGTTTTGCAGAGAAACAACTTTGTGCTGGATTTAACAGGTGGGTTCAGTGCTGTCTTGCACAATGCAGGTTGTAAGAGGTTGAGACACACAAGGTATCATTTGTAAACTAATAATGTATTTTTCATTACCGTTTCCTACAGCACACAACTGAAGCAACAGATGTCCTTTGGCAATTCCTCTGAATCCCTTTGCAATTTCAACGTCTCTGAATATGCCTGTTCCTCAGTAAGCTTTTTAAACTCATCACTGAATGTTGTCAGTAGCAACAGCCACATTTCTCTCATCCGCATCGTCTTTGTTGATGTTACTCATGTTGATGTCACAGTTGTCTAATTTGGTTCACGTACCTGCATCCTTTTCTTTAAGACTAACGGTCTCTCAGCGGACAACTTGGTAACGATTCTGAAATGCCAATTGGCGAGCAAAAATACTTACTCAACGGAAATGTGGAAGCTGTTCTTCCAAAACAATGCTGCTGTTCTGGATCAGGCTCTTCTGGATTACTCCAGCATGGTATGTTGAATCCCAGAATTAGAACAAAATGTTGCCAATATGTGTGGACTTTGTCACTGCAAATCTGTTTATACCTTTCCAGAACCCTAACATCAGCAGTCCAGCCATGCCAAATGTCCTTGATGCCATCGGAGAGCTCAAAATCAACAACTTCAGTAATGCACAGCTAAGCGACGCAAGTTTCATGAACAAGTGGTTCCAGTTGAAGCTCCGACCATTCTTGGCATCTCCTTCCAGGAATTTCCTCTCCTGTCTCAGCTCAAAGAACTTCAGTTGTCAGACCTACCAAATTGTGTATGTAAAGCCATGATACCTAATGCAATAGTCAATACAATTGGTGATATCCCTACAATTTAATAAGAAGTCAAGACAACATAGGCTCTGTTCTCTGTTTCAGCATTAACGCTCTAAGCAGCCAAACAGCTTCCATGGACAGAGAGCAACAACGAGTGATCTTCACTCATTACATCTATCCATTCCTTTCGAGAAATGACTCATCAGGTAATAAATGGTTCTGGAAAGCACAAAAACATCCACACTTCTCTGGGCCAATCTACTGAACTCATCTGCTTAAGGGGATTTAAAGTCCATTTGTTTTACTCTACTTTTGTTTCAGATCCTGGCTGTGTCTCAAACACCAGTGGAAGCATGGACTGGCTCCAGAGGAACTTTGGCATCTTTTCTGTTTTTGCAGAACTGCAAGAGTTACAACTCCTCAATCCTGACTTCTCCAGCGTAAGTGGCCTAAGTGTTTGTCTGGATGGTTAACCTCCCAATAATATTACTGTGCCACTCACTGACATGCGCCACTTTTCTTTTTCATTTTCCTATTTGTAGAAGGAATCACTGTCGCTGCTTACCCCAACCCAAGTGGCACAGTTGACATTGACCTCTGGGGCATTGAATGACACAGCTGACATTAAACTTGTGTTTACGCGGCTGGAGGAAGGAGACGCTTTCAAAAATGTTGACGAGTTTCTGACGAAACTGACCGCAATGGAAGAGGTAATGCAAGTTTGAGAAAAACAAACGGCATGATTTCATTTTGACAAATAGCAATCCCCATGTCTTCCAGTGTCTCCCTTTGTGGATAGTGAAAGACAACAACTAAGCAAAGAGCAAGCTATCAATCTTGTACTTTCATTTAGTACCAGAAAAGCTGGATTGAATGCTATGATGAGTTGTGCAGTGTTGATGACCTCTGGTCATTTGTTTCAACAGATTCCTGACATCTATCCAGCCGTGAGAGATGTGATGATGAATCGGACATTTAACATCATCAGCCTTCAATTCCCAAAGTTCGAAACGATGGACTGGATTGCATGGTTCGAAGTAAAGCTGATTCCGATCCTCCCCAGTTTTGATGAAGTCATGCTCACCATTGCTACCTCAAACGTTACCTGCACCAACTACCAAGTCATGTGAGTAGGGGCCAACTTCTTGCAAATATTAGCCATGGATTCGATGACTAACATCTATTGCAAACGTGGGGTGGAAATGTCATGAGTGTATATTTTCCCATTTACAGTGTAAAAGGAATGGACAGAGCTTTCCCTGAAATGACTGAGGGTAGAAGAGAAGGAATCGCAGGAGTCCTGCTGAAATACCTGAGGATATCTGTACACCTTATCAATGAACCAGGTAGGGCTCACCAAGCAGGTTGTGGTGCTCGTTGGCTTTCTGTTGGGTTGTTCATCGCCTCTGCTGGATGAAGTGGGCTTTGTTTGAAAGGAGTGAACAGTTGGCATGTTGCTTCCTTGTCTATTGAATATAACATCAATGTACTCCATTTTGCAATAATCAAAGCGGCCATACATGTCTTTTAGTTTGCAGGTTGAACATCCACAACGACACTGACTGGCTTGCAATCAACCTGGGTCCATACTCCGAATACACAACCTATTCGGATCTCAAAGACTTCAACATCTCAGGGGTAAAACAATTGTTTGCCAGTGTTCTTTGCATGATCAGAATTGACTAGTTTGACACTGCTCATGTGTGGAATTATGGCTATTTAGAGGGGTAATGCATTTGTATTCTGTTGTCTACTTCTCCCCAGGTGGCAGTTCTAGACTCCCTCTCACCAAACCAGAAAGCTGAGCTGATACTGGACCCAAGCACTGGCGCTCTGGAGAATGAGACTCTTGTGAAGAAGGTTTTCATCAGCTTGCTGGAATCTCCAAGGGAAGAGCAGCTCAATGAGTTCTTTGTGACTTTTGTTGAAGTCACCAAGCAGGTGAGTACATCACTCTCTGGCTGGAATGGACCTTGTACAGTGAGACCCGGCTCTCGACAAACTCATCTGACGAAACAATCAGGATGAAAGGATGTCCTTCTAAACCATGAACCATCTATTTTCCAGGAAAACATCACCATCATCACAAACACAGCCGTAAGAGACACAATGCTAAACCTGACCTTGATGGCTCTTGCTCCCAAATTTGACGTCTTTGAGCCAAAAGACTTCCAGCTGTGGTTCCAAGTCAATCTGGTTGTTCTGCTGGCCAGCTTCAATCCTGGCAGATTGGTTGTTATCCCCCTAAACATCACCTGTGAATCCTACAATGCCATGTAAGAGACTACTTTACACCCAACAAACGTACAAGGCACTGTCTCGTAAAGTACAGATTGATGAAAGACTGCACTAATGTCTCCCTTTCCTTTTCTCTCAGATTCACGGGTCTCGACCAAAGTTTGCAATCTCTTCCGCCTCACCTCTCACAGGGTGTGGAGTCAAGCTTGGAAGCACTGATGAAGACATTCCAACGTATGTGATAAGCTGCTCTTTTTCAACAATAGACACTGTCTCATCTGAGCCCAGCATTTACAGAACATTTTAAAATCTCCAAACAGTCATTCTGTTATTTTGTTTTCTCATATGCTCCGAAATCTTCCTGTTAATTGAATGACCTTATTTAAATTATCTCCCTCAAAGGTTGCTCAAGGCCTCCAGCTTTAATTGTGGTAAGTACTCTCTGAATGGGATCTTATTTCAATTAGACACTTTTTTTACATGATACATGGAAAGGTCATGCATCTTGTATATGCATTGTGGCATTGTTCAGAAAGCCAAAGCATCTCTTTTGTTTTCACATTGAATTTCACACGGATAACAATATTCTTTCCCCCCCATATAGTGCAAAGAAACATTGGTCAATGGTAAGTTGACGTTAGCTGTGACATATTTATTTTCTTTCATCAGATTGGCAATTTATGTTTTGTGTCTAAAGAACTCTTCTTTTTATGTTCTCTTTTGCAGAGAAACAACTTTGTGCTGGATTTAACAGGTGGGTTCAGTGCTGTCTTGCACAATGCAGGTTGTAAGAGGTTGAGACACACAAAGTATCATTTGTAAACTAATAATGTATTTTTCATTACCGTTTCCTACAGCACACAACTGAAGCAACAGATGTCCTTTGGCAATTCCTCTGAATCCCTTTGCAATTTCAACGTCTCTGAATATGCCTGTTCCTCAGTAAGCTTTTTAAACTCATCACTGAATGTTGTCAGTAGCAACAGCCACATTTCTCTCATCCGCATCGTCTTTGTTGATGTTACTCATGTTGATGTCACAGTTGTCTAATTTGGTTCACGTCCCTGCATCCTTTTCTTTAAGACTACCCGTCTCTCAGCGGACAACTTGGTAACGATTCTGAAATGCCAATTGGCGAGCAAAAATACTTACTCAACGGAAATGTGGAAGCTGTTCTTCCAAAACAATGCTGCTGTTCTGGATCAGGCTCTTCTGGATTACTCCAGCATGGTATGTTGAATCCCAGAATTAGAACAAAATGTTGCCAATATGTGTGGACTTTGTCACTGCAAATCTGTTTATACCTTTCCAGAACCCTAACATCAGCAGTCCAGCCATGCCAAATGTCCTTGATGCCATCGGAGAGCTCAAAATCAACAACTTCAGTAATGCACAGCTAAACGACCCCAGTTTCGTGGACAAGTTGTTCCAGAAGAATCTCCGTCCATTCTTGGCATCTCTATCCAGGAATTTCCTCTCCTGTCTCAGCTCAAAGAACTTCAGTTGTCAGACCTACCAAATTGTGTATGTAAAGCCATGATACCTAATGCAATAGTCAATACAATTGGTGATATCCCTACAATTGAATAAGAAGTCAACATAACATAGGCTCTGTTCTCTGTTTCAGCATTAACGCTCTAAGCAGCCAAAAAGCTTCCATGGACAGAGAGCAACAACGATTGATCTTCACTCATTACATCTATCCATTCCTTTCAAGAAATGACTCATCAGGTAATAAATGGTTCTGGAAAGCACAAAAACATCCACACTTATCTGGGCCAATCCACTGAACTCATCTGCTTAAGGGGATTTAAAGTCCATTTGTTTTACTCTACTTTTGTTTCAGATCCCGGCTGTGTCTCAAACACCAGTGGAAGCATGGACTGGCTCCAGAGGAACTTTGGCATCTTTTCTGTTTTTGCAGAACTGCAAGAGTTACAAGTCCTCAATCCCGACTTCTCCAGCGTAAGTGGCCTAAGTGTTTGTCTGGATGGTTAACCTCCCAATAATATTACTGTGCCACTCACTGACATGCGCCACTTTTCTTTTTCATTTTCCTATTTGTAGAAGGAATCACTGTCGCTGCTTACCCCAACCCAAGTGGCACAGTTGACATTGACCTCTGGGGCATTGAATGACACAGCTGACATTAAACTTGTGTTTATGCGGCTGGAGGAAGGAGACGCTTTCAAAAATGTTGATGAGTTTCTGACGATACTGACCGCAAAGGAAGAGGTAATGCAAGTTTGAGAAAAACAAACAGCATGATTTCATCTTGCCAAATAGCAATCCCCATGTCTTCCAGTGTCTCCCTTTGTGGATAGTGAAAGACAACAACTAAGCAACGAGCAAGCTATCAATCTTGTACTTTCAGTTAGTACCGGAAAAGCTGGATTGAATGCCATGATGAGTTGTGCAGTGTTGATGACCTCTGGTCATTTGTTTCAACAGATTCCTGACATCTATCCAGCTGTGAGAGATGTGATGATGAATCTGACATTTAACATCATCAGCCTTCAATTCCCAAAGTTCGAAACGCTGGACTGGATTGCATGGTTCGAAGTAAAGCTGATTCCCATCCTCCCCAGTTTTAATGAAGTCATGCTCACCATTGCTACCTCAAACGTTACCTGCACCAACTACCAAGTCATGTGAGTAGGGGCCAACTTCTTGCAAATATTAGCCATGGATTCGATGACTAAAATCTATTGCCAACGTGGGGTGGAAATGTCATGAGTGTATCTTTTCCCATTTACAGTGTAAAAGGAATGGACAGAGCTTTCCCTGAAATGACTGAGGGTAGAAGAGAAGGAATCGCAGGAGTCCTGCTGAAATACCTGAGGATATCTGTACACCTTATCAATGAACCAGGTAGGGCTCACCAAGCAGGTTGTGGTGCTCGTTGGCTTTCTGTTGGGTTGTTCATCGCCTCTGCTGGATGAAGTGGGCTTTGTTTGAAAGGAGTGAACAGTTGGCATGTTGCTTCCTTGTCTATTGAATATAACATCAATGTACTCCATTTTGCAATAATCAAAGCGGCCATACATGTCTTTTAGTTTGCAGGTTGAACATCCACGACGACACTGACTGGCTTGCAATCAACCTGGGTCCATTCTCCAAATACACAACCTATTCGGATCTCAAAGACTTCAACATCTCAGGGGTAAAACAATTGTTTGCCAGTGTTCTTTGCATGATCAGAATTGACTAGTTTGACACTGCTCATGTGTGGAATTATGGCTATTTAGAGGGGTAATGCATTTGTATTCTGTTGTCTACTTCTCCCCAGGTGGCAGTTCTAGACTCCCTCTCACCAAACCAGAAAGCTGAGCTGATACTGGACCCCACGAACCTGGCAAATGGAACTCTTGTGCAAGAGGTTTTCCTATTGGTTCTGGGGTCTTCAGATGTGGCGGAGATTGGTCCATTTTTCCAATCATTTGTGGAGGTTGCTTCAAAGGTTTGTATATTGATTCTTGGTATTGAGATGATTGGTTTATTTGAACACTTCTAAACAACATTGTCATCATGGTAAACCAGGAGTGGTCCTAAGCTATTGCCATATATGCAGTAGATTATGAACTACTCAAAATAGCTAAGGCAAGACTCCAGTCACTCGTTTTAGCTACTGTTGTTGTTTTTATAGCAATGCATTTTCTCTGATGCTGCTAATCTACGAAGCACCTCCTTACAGAATGTTTATTATTACTTTTTTTTACAGAGCAACCTGACAGCTATTGAGCCAGGACTGCGAGACACCCTCTTAAACCTGACACTGACGGCACTCGCCCCCAAATTGCAGACACTAGATACTCAGGGATTCAAGCTTTGGTTCCAGGTCTATCTCCCGTTATTCCTCCCAAGCATTAATCCTGGGACCTTTTCCGTTATCCCAAGGAATATCAGCTGTGACTCCTATAGCGCAATGTGAGTTTCAGCTCTTAGTGTTTGCAATGATTATTGAGGATGTGATATGGCATGTGATTGCCAGATACTGTATATTCTAAATGTCTATTCTACATAATGCACGGTAGTACATTTAATAGGTTGTCTTTTAATAAAACATATTTTGTTTCACACAGCATCAAGGGGTGTGATAATGTGGTCACTAGGCTGTCGCTGATGCAGTCCCAGCAAGTCTTCATGTTCACCAAGGATTATTTGACAGGCCAATCCATTGAAGGTAACATAATGAGTCCTCTAACTCAAAATATTATGTTACTATGTTGGCTGCACTAAAGTCTATTTGAAACAGACATGGCGGCAGCAGCAAGTCAAATAGGCGGTAAATGTTATTAAACATTTCCTGATCTATTGTACACTATATATAAGGGATTTCGCCGCCCAAATGCTCTTTCTAAATGCAAATACGCCTCATACGCAATACAAGCAGTACATTATTTTTCAGTTACTAAAGATACACTTACTGTACGCAGTTTAGGAAAGTTGCACCCGGCTGTATTTTGAGAAACACAAGAAATGTGGAATGGAATGGTCCAATGGAAATGCGAGCGCAAGGTGAGAGGATGTGTCGTGGCCGAGTTGGCCTGTGAAAACAGTTGGGTGCAACTTTGCTAAACTGCGCACAGTAAGTGTATATTTTGTATTTGAAATATTATTTCTCACTTATATGAAAGTTAAGTTCCAAAGGTTTCCAAAACCATATCGCAAGTGAGGCGTATTTGCGTTTAGACAGTGTCGCAGTTAAACAGAGCGCCAGCTGTGATCAGTACCGTCAGCTGAAAACTCGGCTGTAAACTGGATTATTTCCCACTTGGGTTCTTGAGAGCTAAGAATTAACTGACTTAGAAATACAAAATAACTCCATGCTTTATCAAAATACATTATCGAATAAATGTAGATGTACTCTAAAAGTTATTGTTTTTACAGAAGCTAGGTAGAATGGCTAGCTAACATTTTTGAACACATTTTCCTAATTTTACATTGGACAAAAAATTAATTAACGCTACACAGTATTAAAACCTAGCGGATTGCTACTGTACACGTGACGACATTTCATATTAATATTGAAAAGTTGACATAGCTGTGGTAGAGTTCACATACCTATATATAGTGTACAATAGATCAGGAAAATCGGAGTGTAGCAGCTAGCTAGCTTACACAATTAATGGTAGCTACCGTTCTTGACTTTGGTTAGAACAGAGCTAAAACAATAAAGACATGTCATAGAGCTGATGCCATAAAAGAGGCCCAACTTTATAATGGAAAGATTTGTGGAATGGAACAACATCTGGGACCAGATCTAAACCAGCAACTTAGAAAGTTGAGAGACTTCACGACCTTCAACAAATAAACATTCAGACATGTACCTACGGTGCCTTCAGAAAGTATTCACACTTACCAGACTTGATACATATCAAACAAATAGAAGAACATGTTTCAGTTTAATACAATACGCAAAAAAATTAGATATATATTTATCAATAATGGCTGTTGATGCTGAAAAGGCTTTTCTATTCAAAACTTTGGAAGCTTTCAACATTCCAGCTAACATAATACATTAATACAAATATTGTATAATGTTCTAAAGCAAAAATATACACAAATAATACATTATCTGATGAAATTGCTTTAGAAAGGGGCACAGGACAGGGATGTCCCCTCTCCCCCCTCCTGTTTCCACTGTCAATTGAACCGCTTGCAGAAAGAATTAGACAGGACCCAAACGTAACAGGTATCAGTACTGGTAAACATGAATATAAACTAAACTTCTTAAAGATGATCTCCTGATATACCTGACCAATATTGAAAAATCAATGCCCCTTTTGCTAAAAATATTTTCAGAATAAAAAACTAATCTCAGGATATAAAATTAACGTGAAAAAAAATGAAATAATAGCAATAGGAAAAAGAAAAATAATAACTCATTATCTACAGCAATCTTTTATGTGGACCACAACAAATATAAAATACATAGGATGCTTAATACGTGACAACAAACAACACATATATAAAGATAACTTTATCCTATTACTCAACAATATGAAAGCAGATGTAATTAAGTTGAATAATCTTCCCATAAATCTTGCAGGTAGAATAAACCTCTTTAAAATGGCATGGCTGCCAAAGTTTTTGTATTTTCGGTAATACCAATTACCCCACCGAAGGCATTTTGAAAAAGTATACTCGATGCTAACAGACTTTATATGGGCAAATAAAAAAATTATAGAATAAAAAGGAATGTTTTACATCTTCCTACGTCTGAGGGTGGTTTTAACCTTCCAGACTTGGAATTGTATCAACTCGCCTCCCAGGACTTTTACTTCCGACATATCATTAAATGCACTAAAGAGGAACAATGAGTACATATTAAAGATGCGCATGCTCATCCCCAGAATATTTTTATGTGTCTATTTTCAAAGGATAAAGCTAAGAACATTACCGACTTCATAGCTAATAACACTAAAACAATATGGAAGAAAATGAAACGTATTCTACAAGAACCAATATCACTCCATAAAAACACAACCCTATGGAACAATTCCTGGATAGCTTTTCAGAATTCACTGATAAATTGGTCTATATGGAAAACTAAAGGCATAGAAACCATGAATGACTTGGAAACAGAATTAAAAATAAATTTTGGATTGATCAATGTAGATAATTTCAAAATACATGCTTAAAAGTTACATATCGCGAAATTTCGATTTGAAATCTTTCAGACATCAGAGCAACCTAGGGAGAATCTTATTTGAGTCCGAAAATGATGATTGTATGATAGGGAAGGTATACAAAACCTTGCAGAGAGCACCATCCAACTTACAATATCTTAGAAAAATATATAAACTGTTGGAACCAAGACTTAAAATGAACTGATGTTGTCACAAGATGGAGGGAAAGTTGGAGCAGAACTAACTTAATTAAAGTTAAAAATGTACGCTTAATCCAGTATAAACTAATGTATAGAATGTAGTATACAAAATTCGCAAATTCTACAGCACAACGGCAGAGTCATGTCTTAAGTGTAAAACTAATAATAACTGAATAATCCATGCTTTCTGGGGATGCTACAAAGTCCGGAAGTTGTGGGGGGAGCTAGAACGTTGGCTGTCAGAAGTATTACAATATAAACTTACTTTTAGTCAGTCTGTCTGCATATTTCAAGACATGGCATATGGGGGGTGTAGTGAAATACCCAATAGGCTGGACAATTTTCTTCTCATCACTCATCTAAAAAAATAAAAAATAAAAAAAGGAATACTAAAAATGCAGAAATCAATCAATCTGCCATCATTAACACAATGGAAAAATCTAATGATTTATTATTGAAATATTGAAATAGCATGGGCGACTGAGAAAAACGAATTGATGCAATTTAAGGCCAAGTGGCAAACAATAATGCAGGCAGTAGTGATGGAGGTGTGAACATGCAGGTTTGGGCAGATCAGATGTAGTTATTGTTTGTGTGCGTCTGTAAATTGTTCATATGTAAAAGTAAAAAATAAAAAAAAGGATTCACACCCCTTGACTTTTTCCACGTTTTGAAATGTTGTGTCACTGGCACAATACCCCATAATGTCAAAGTGGAATTATGTTTTTAGAAGTGTTTACAAATTAATTATAAATGAAAAACTGAAATGTCAAATAAACCTTGATGAAGCCCAAGTTCACCATACAACAGATAGCTCAAACTACCACAGTGACATAGGCTATTACTCAAAATAGACACAAAAACAATCACCAAATGTAGACCTACAGTGCCTTCAGAAGGTATTCACACCCCTTGACTTTTTTCACCTTTTCTTGTTACGGCCTGAATTTAAAATGGATTACATTGAGATTTTGTGTCACTGGCCTACACACAATACCCCATAATGTCAAAGTGGAATTGTGTTTTTCTGATTAATTACAGATTATTTAAAAATGAAAAGCTGAAATGTCTTGAGTCAATAAGTATTCAACCTCTGTTGTGGCAAGCCTAAATAAGTTCAGGAGTACAAAATGTGCTTAACAAGTCACATAATAAGTTGCATGGACTCACTCTGTGTGCAATAATAGTGTTTAGCATGATTTTTTGAATGACTACCTCATCTCTGTACCCCACACATACGATTATCTGTAAGGTCCCTCAGTCAAGCAGTGAATTTCAAACACAGATTCAACCACAAAGACCAGGGAGGTTTTCCAATGCCTCGCAAAGAATGGGCACCTATTGGTAGAAAAAAAAAGCAGACATTGAATATCCCTTTGAACATGGTGAAGTTATTAATTACACTTTGGATGGTGTATCAATACACCCAGTCACTTCAAAGATACAGGTGTCCTTCCTAACTCAGTTGCCGGAGAGGAAGGAAACCGCTCAGGGATTTCACCATGAGGCCAATGGTGACTTTAAAACAGTTAGAGTTTAATGGCTGTGAAAGGAGGAAACTGAGGATGGATCAACAACATTGTAGTTACTCCACAATACTAACCTAAATGACAGAGTGAAAAGAAGGAAACCTGTACAGAATAAAAATATTCCAAAACATGCATCCTGTTTGCAATAAGGTACTGAAGTAAAACTGCAAAAAAATAAGAAATGAACTCTATGTCCTAAATACAAAGTGTTATGTTTGGGGCAAGTCCAACTCAACACATCACTCAGTACCACTCTTCATATTTTCATGCATGGTGGTGTCTGCATCATGTTATGGGTATGCTTGTCAGTTTCTTTTAGGATAAAACGAAACGGCAAAATCCTAGAGGATAATCTGGATCAGTCTGCTTTCCAACAGACACTGGGACATGAATTCACCTTTCAGCAGGACAATAACCTAAAACACAAGGTCAAATAGAGTTGCTTACCAAGACGATATTGAATGTTCCTCAGTGGCCTAGTTACAGTTTTGACTTAAATCGACTTGAAAATCTATGGCAAGACTTGAAAATGGCTGTCTAGCAATGATCAACAATCAACTTGACAGAGCTTGAAGAATTGTAAAAAAAAAATAATGTGAAAATATTGTACAATCCAGGTATGCAAAGCTCTTAGAGATTTACCCAGAAAGACTCACAGCTGTAATCACTGACAAATGTGATTATACTGTAAATACCTATGTAAATTAGATATTTCTGTATTTGATTTTCAATAAATCTGCAAAACTTTCTAAAAACATGTTTTCACCTTGACATTATGGGGTAGTGCCTAGATGGATGAAAATATGCAATTGAATCCATTTTGAATTCAGGCTGTAACAACAAAATGTGGAATAAGTCAAGTGGTATGAATACTTTCTGAAGGCACTGTAGCTAGCTAGCAGTTTTGGAGACAGCGTCGCGTTTCTAGCAAAGAGATTTGAGGTGGCTAATGAACAGTAAATAAGTAAATTGTTACGCCCCACAGTTTGCCAAATTTGTTTACAGTAATTTAGCAACCACTACCTTATTTATACTTTACCAGCGAATCGTATTGTTGTCGCGTCACCTGTCTCCGAAAATGACGAGTTCTGTTTACATTTAGTAATTGTGAAGTGCCTTCCATATTCACTTTGCATGCATATAGCAGCGGCACGTTCAGCAGCGTTTTAGAACGTTATGTGTAGAACAAACATACATCTCTGATATCACATCCGCTCTATTCATGGCATTTCTATCTGCAACGTTAAACAATGTTTGGCTACTGAACGTGGTCCAGATGTTGCTCGTCTCTATGGGCCATAATTTGTTGCTTCGCGACATAACATCTATCGGATTGATAGAATAACTAAAGCTATGAATGACGAATAGATCGATTGTCAACAGATTAAAATAATACAAGTTTGGAAACTGAGCTAGTGTTAAATAATTTTGGTCCCTCCCCCCAAGGATTCTCCTGTGTGAAGACTGTGAGAGATGACAGGGATTGGCTTGGAAGCTACTTTGGACAATTCCGGATCTATGCTTCATATGTGGACTTTGTGACCCTGAAGAGTGATTTCAATGGAGTAAGTCACAAGGCATTATGTCAGTGAAACATCTTTTGTACTGCAGAGTCTGAAGCTTTTTTCCTCTTGCAGTCATTTCTCTGGGGTCAGATCATTTCAATTTAGGAACTGAAATAGGGGTGTTAAATTCTACATGAAATGAGCTAACTATTAGCTGTTCCTTAATTGAAGCGGTAATAACCTAACATCGGCTGTGAGGTGCTGATGTACAATGTCCGACAACTGTTTAAAATTTTTTTTTTATCTCCAGGTGAATGTAGCAGATCTCCTCACACCTATCCAGCTGGCTCAGCTCGCAGTGATTCCCTCCCAACTAAAAGGGGCACAGGGTGTCAACAAGATCATGGCAGCCATCGGTCCGGCTAACTTTGGATTGTTCTTTGACATACTCTCACCTGCTATTCAGGTACGTACAGTATCTGTCTACTAACCTTTTCAGTTGCACAGCATTGATGTTTCCGATTGGAATTGTAGTTGTTCTACAATACTAAAAATAGTTCTGAGATACATTACTAACAAGTAATGTCTGTTGTTTAATGAATTTTAGTTAGTATTGCCATATGTAATATCCACAATTCAGCATGTTGCTGTCAATTTTACAATGTTCTGTTTGAAAACTGTCTAAAGCAAGCTGGGACACTTGGCTCAGTATTTTTTGCATATGTGTTTTCAGTTGTGTTATAACGTTGAAAATATTCTGTTATAACGTTTGAAAATTCCTCCAGAAACACATGAACAACTACACAGAAGAGGTGAAGACAGCTTTCCTCCAGGTGGTGTTTGACAGTGGGGACCTGTCCTCCACTGCCATCAATGACACAGAATTCCTCGTGTGGCTCAGGGTTCGGCTGAACCCCCTCTTGCTGAACCTCTCATCCAATCAAGTGACACCACTCTTCCGCATCATGAAGGATAGGGGCTGCAACAGCAGCCAAGAAGCGTAAGGAGCGATAACTAAGTGAAATAGCAGTTTATATGTGTTCTGATGTGCTGTAGCAGTTTTATCTGTGTTCTGATGTGCTGTAGCAGTTTATATGTGTTCTGATGTGCTGTAGCAGTTTATATGTGTTCTGATGTGCTGTAGCAGTTTATCTGTGTTCTGGTGTGCTGTAGCAGTTTATATGTGTTCTGATGTGCTGTAGCAGTTTATATGTGTTCTGATGTGCTATATTCTCACATGTGGAGATAAAACAAGTTCAAGCTAATATAAATCAACAAATGTTTATAGAAAATGTAAAATAGCTTTTTAGTGTGACATTTACACATATCTCCCATTGTTTTTCTTCTGGAAACTCAGAATCTCATTATTAGACACTCTGCGGTCTACACTGACTGAAGACACACAGAGGGAAATCTACAGCAATGCCCTGCTCCTACTGAAAGGTACGCATTTGGGTCTAAAACAGTGTTCTTCGATCCTGGTTCTAGGGACCTACGGTACAGTAATTCAGGTGTTTTTTTTAATGCTGGTCCATGTTAATTAAATACATTTATCTAAACTGGCCTTTCTATTGTCTGACAGAGCCAACGCCACTGCGATGCTATGTAAACGGAAGCTTCTACTCGTTTTTGAGAAGCACGTTCCTTGGCTTTGGATTCCCCGACCTGTCGATGCTTTTCACGCTCATGCCAGACACACGCCAACCTGAGGTAATGGCAGAGGACATCTTCTTCTTAGTCATCTTCTTCTTCAATAGTATAACATTGCAATTAGAACAACTTGGGCCTACTTCAAGTGGCTGTCCCCTGCTTTAATGATCAACCTGATCAGTAATCAGTCATTCTCCTGGCGTCGCAGCTCCTGAATTCCATAACCTGCTCTGAGCTGAGTCAGTTCCTCAGTCAACCTGACGTGGTTGGCAACGGTTCCAACATATGTGCTGTCTTCAAAGACTACGCCAAGACGCCTGTCTTCCTGGAAACAGTATGCAGCTCTTCTACTTCCTAAATTGTATTCTTATTTTTTGAACGTACTTGGTTTTGTTGAGGATTTGACACATTTTGTCTTTTGTGTTGTGGTCAACCCAATTTGAATTGAAAATAAAAGTGTATATTGGGCATTTTCACCCCAACCCATCCTGTTTCTCTCTTCAGGAGGATGTCCCTGATGCTGTGAAGCAGCTGACGCTTCCCTGCATCTGGCCTTTAGCTCTGAACAGCGGCAGTAGGTCAGAGGTGAACGCCTGGTTTGACCTCAGACTGAAAAACTACTTGAGGTTCCTCACCAGGAGCCTCATCAGTTCATCTACAGTGCAAAACGGCCAGCTGTCTCGCTTTCCAGAAACTGTAAGGGGCTTCTTTTTTTGTCATTTTTTTTAAATGACCGAAAGTATCATGAATCCTTTTCTTTGCACGTTAGATTATATAAAACCTCAAACACTGACACCATGCATTTGTTCTGATCACATCGTCTGTGTTGTTTTGCTTCAGAGTCTCAGTCCTTGGAAGCGATTTCAGCTACAACAGCTCTGATTTTGCACAGAGTGATGTGTACACCACCATTAAGACTTACCTTGGCACAGGTAAGACTTCGTGTCACTGAAAGGTTTGACACTGGATAAACACTACTAAGCACACAACCATATTCCCGTGTGTATATGATTATCTCATGTAAATCCCTCCTCATCTGAGATGATTATCCTGTCATAGAAATGTGTTTACCCATTTCAGGTTAATGACTAACATTTGTTGTGGGATGATGACAGTATGTTGATGGTATCGCGTAGCATGATAGTATGCAAGTGCCAATGACGTCAGCGTGTTCTTCTGTCTCTGTAAGGTTCTGGATCAAAGTGCTACAATGCCAACGACCCAGAGCTGAACTCCACCGCCTGGTTTGTGAACTACATCGGTGCTTTTGTGACTTACCTCTCCCTGGAGGACCTCAACACCTTTGTCACCACCAGTCAGGTATGTCCCTGATTTAGGCTGGCTGTCATGAGGACTAGGGGCTAGATGTAATCTGAGGGGGGAATTACAACAATACACATTTTAATGAAAACAGGATAACCATCCACTAGAAATCTGATAAGAAATTGCATGAATAACTATGTTATTTTGTGTTTGAAGATCAATGTCTTCTTGGAGAACCAGGCCAACATCAAGCTCTTCAACAACACAGCTATACCTGCCAACGTCACTGCATACTACATCACACAGCTATACACACTGAACCCCACGTTCAACCCTCTGCTGTGAGTATCCATCTATAATAGTAGTGGTAGTAGTGGTAGTAGTAGTGGTAGTAGTAGTGGTGGTAGTAGTGGTAGTGGTAGTAGTAGTAGTGGTAGTAGTGGTGGTAGTAGTAGTAGTGGTGGTAGTAGTAGTAGTAGTAGTAGTAGTAGTAGTAGTGGTATTAGTGGTAGTGGTAGTAGTGGTGGTAGTAGTAGTAGAAGTAGTAGTAGTGGTAGTAGTGGTGGTAGTGGTAGTAGTAGTAGTAGTAGTAGTAGTAGTAGTAGTAGTAGTAGTAGTAGTAGTAGTAGTAGTAGTAATAGTAGTAGTAATAGTAGTGGTAGTAGTAGTGGTAGTGGTAGTAGTAGTAGTAGTAGTAGTAGTAGTAGTAGTAGTAGTAGTAGTAGTAGTAGTAGTAGTAGTAGTAGTGCTATGATGGGCATGGTAAGGATGTTAGTAGAACTGTATAAGTAAGTAGGGATTGTAGTAATATATGTAGTGTAGTGGCATCTATTGTAATAGTAGCATCTCTGTAGTAATAGCATTATGACGATAACGGTTAGAACCCAACTGAAATGACACTGTAACAATGGTTGGTCTGGATATTTTGTTTTCCTTCAGACTTCCTGGCTTCTTCCTCTGTGAGGTCCCAAGTACGGCCTATAACTCCCTGAGCCAGACAGCCAGTAGGGACATCCTGGACCGTCTGAAGCTATTCTGCAATGGAACTGAGGACCCTCAGGTACACGATTAGAAACGGAACAAGGAGAGCAGACATAGTTCTGAGTTTCACATGATATGCTTATGTCATAAGCAGAAATTCATCAACCCTATTTAGTAGTTGACTCAGTGTGACAACCAGGTCACCATGGATGTTGATTCAAATAGGGATGCCATGGGTAATAATGGCTTAAATAAATCGCAAGCTTTGTGTTTGCATTCCGGCAGGTATCTGCTGCACTGGTGGCTAATTTCCAAACTATCACGGCGAGCACCATAGCAACCATGGGGAACAGCAGCACTGGCTTGACGACCACCCAGATCTCCTCGGTCTCTTCCTCAGTACTTGTGTCGTCCCTGGCAACACTCGGCTCTGTGAGCGGCTGGAACCTGGGCCAGGCCAGTACAGTCATCCAGACCATCACTACCGGAGGCTTCCAGGTGAGGGCGCCATCTTCTCTAGAATCAGAGAATCATAATTGCTTCTATAATCCTTTTGAGTACATTCATTTCTGGCATAACAGCCTGCTGTATTGTTGGGATCAAAGTCTGTTTGATAAGATAAAAGATAAATAAAAAATGAACAAATAAACATGGATAATCACACTCGAATGAGCCTGATCTGAGTAATACTATTTGATTGACAGATCAACACCGCCGCCTCCCTGATCTCATTGGGCACGCTCATTGTGGGCGTTCCATCAGCGACGATAACGAGCATCCCAGCCACTGAGCTGTTGACAGCATCCCAGAGCTCTGTGTTTGTCACCAACATGCTGGCTGGCCCACAGATTCTACAGGAAACCTACATCAGCAAGGTACCAGGTGTATCCAACAGTGTTTTATTGGCTACACTTAGTTTTTCTTTTGTTTTTTTTTAACAGTTTGTGGGTCACACTGAAATATGAAAAAGTATGCACATTGTCAAAATACTATATTTGCCCTGAATTCTACAACACGATGAAGAGCCATGTTGTTTGTTCTAACAAAATGGTTGTCTTTCCTTTTGTCATTCCTTATTAGATAATCACCATCAACCAAAGCCCCAATGCGTTGGTTGTGAATGTACCTGATGCCATGGCCACACTGATCCCCAGGGTTCTCCTGACCTTCTCTGAGGAGACTGTGAACGTACAGGCGATCAACAGAAAGACATGGACGCAGGAGCAGGTTGGTGTCTTGACATCATCTATGAACAGGCCTTCCCTATGAGCACAAGACTTTGAAAAGACGTTGAAAAGACGTAGAAAACAACGTATTTTCATTTTTCTTCTGCTCACTGGGTTTATTCATTCCTAGCAGGTTTCACATGAACAATTTATGCATTTGGCTTGTATAGATAGATATAACTGTCATTACCAAGACTCTTACCTTGTCTTTGTGTTGTAGGCTGTTATATTCTTCGGCACCATAGCGAGCAATGCAAGCATCGACTCAGAGGAGTAAGTTATAAATGAGTTAACATGACAAACCCAGATCAACTGTCCTGTTGTGTCTTTCTGTCTCTTTACTTCCTCATGCTCTCTATCTTCTCCTCTTACAAACAGTCTCTTCTCCTCTTACAAACAGTCTCTCTCCTCTTACAAACAGTCTCTCTCCTCTTACAAACAGTCTCTTCTCCTCTTACAAACAGTCTCTTCTCCTCTTACAAACAGTCTCTTCTCCTCTTACAAACATCTCTCTTCTTCTCCTCTTTACAAACAGTCCCTCTCTCTCCTCTTACAAACAGTCTCTTCTCCTCTTACAAAACAGTCTCTTCTCCCTCTTACAAACAGTCCTTCTCCGCTTACAACCAGTCCTCTTCTCCTCTTACAACAGTCTCCTTCTCCTCTTACAAACAAGTCCTCTTCTCCGCTTACCAACAGTCTCTTCTCCCTTACAACAGTCTCCTTGCTCCTCTTACAAACATCTCTTTCTCCTCTGACAAACAGTCTCTTCTCCTCTGACAAACAGTCCTCTTCTCCTCTTAACAAACAGTCTCTTCTCCTCTTACAAACATTCTCTTCCCTCTTAAAAACAGTTCCCTTCTTCCCTCTTAAAACAGTCTCTTCTCCTCTACAAACAGTCTCCTTCTCCTCTTACAACAGTCTCTTCTCCTCTTACCACAGTCTCTTCTCCCTTACAACCAGTCTCTTCTCCTCTTACAAACAGTCTCTTCTCCTCTTACAAACAGTCTCTTCTCCTCTTACAAACAGTCTCTTCTCCTCTTACAAACAGTCTCTTCTCCTCTTACAAACAGTCTCTTCTCCTCTTACAAACAGTCTCTTCTCCTCTTACAAACAGTCTCTTCTCCTCTTACAAACAGTCTCTTCTCCTCTTACAAACAGTCTCTTCTCCTCTTACAAACAGTCTCTTCTCCTTACAAACAGTCCTTCTCCTCTTACAAACAGTCTCTTCTCCTCTTACAAACAGTCTCTTCTCCTCTTACAAACAGTCTCTTCTCCTCTTACAAACAGTCTCTTCTCCTCTTACAAACAGTCTCTTCTCCTCTTACAGTCTCTTCTCCTCTTACAAACAGTCTCTTCTCCTCTTACAAACAGTCTCTCTCCTCTTACAAACAGTCTCTTCTCCTCTTACAAACAGTCTCTTCCTTTAAAATCTTCTCCTCTTACAAACAGTCTCTCTCCTCTTACAAACAGTCTCTCTCCTCTTACAAACAGTCTCTTCTCCTCTTACAAACAGTCTCTCTCCTCTTACAAACAGTCTCTTCTCCTCTTACAAACAGTCTCTTCTCCTCTTACAAACAGTCTCTCCTCTCAACGTCTTCCTTACAAACAGTCTCTTCTCCTCTTACAAACAGTCTCTTCTCCTCTTACAAACAGGCTCTTCTCCTCTTACAAACAGTCTCTTCCTCTTACAAACAGTCTCTTCTCCTCTTACAAACAGTCTCTTCTCCTCTTACAAACAGGCTCTCTCCGTCCGTGTTGCAAGGGTTCACGTGTACATCAGTGCAGTCCTTGACCATCAAAACGGTGCGCAGGCTGGTTCATGCCTGCAGACCGAAGATCCTTAGAGAGAAAGTGGTGCTGAAAGAAACACAGGTCCGTGAGACATGAAGATGTCAGAGTTATGATGATGATGATGATAGCTAATACATCTCACACATGATTGCCTCTTATCATTTTCCCACAGTTGACCTGCATGTACAATTTACTGAAAGGCAACCTCTCCCAGAATTTTACAGACTATCCCTCAGACATGCTACTATATTACAAGTAAGTCTAATCGTGTTAATTATCTAATCCTGTTCATTATTTAATCCTGTTTATTATCTAATCCTGTTATTTATCTAACCTGTCATCTAATACTGTTAATGATCTAATCCTGTTAATTATTTAATACTGTTAATTATCTAATACTGTTAATTATTTGATTCTGCTAATTATTTGATCCTGTTTATTATCTAATTCTGTTAATTATCTAATCCTGTCAATAATCTATCCTGTTAAAGCTGCAATATGTAACTTTTTGGGCAACCCAACCAAATTCACATAGAATTATCTGTTAAAGATCTGTCATTCTCATTGAACGCAGGTCTAAGAAGCTGTAGATGTGTTCTATGTGTGCTATTTCTATGCTCCCGTTCTTAAATTTCGTTTTTTGCATCTTTTACTTTCAGTTTTGTACAAATACAATATTTTAGGTTATTGAAAATACATTTCACAGCGGTTTAGATGGAACAAAAATTATCTACACTACATTTACATTTGAGTCATTTAGCAGACGTTCTTATCCAGAGCAATTTACAGTAGTTAGTGCATACATTTTCATACTGGTCCCCCGTGGGAATCAAACCCACAACCCTGGCGTTGCAAGTGCCATGCTCTACCAAGTGAGCCACATGGGACAACACTTGCTTTGTTACGTCACATAAACTGAAATTAGGCGAACTATTCTCATTTTAGCAACCAGGAAATGGTGGAGCGATTTCTGCTTAGTGCATCTTTAATTATCTAATCCTGTTCATGATCTAATCCTGTTCATGATCTAATCCTGTTCATGATCTAATCCTGTTCATGATCTAATCCTGATCATGATCTTATCCTGTTCATGATTTTAACATTCAAATACTATACAATAATCCAGACAATATTCTAAAGAAAGTATTTCCTGGTAGTTCAGAAAGTAATTTAGTTCAGAAAAAATGCTTCATATGAGTGATGTGTGGATCAATGTGTTTAGGGAATGTTTCCTTAGCTCATTTGTATTAATCCGTATTAATTGTTTATTTCATTCCAGCTATGCAAAGGTTGAAAAAAGCAATTGCGGGTCCTACTTCAGCGCGGCAGGTTCTGCAGACTTCTCTGTCCTCTCCAGCGTGCTGAACAAGGATACAATGCTACTGGACAACGCAAAAAGCTGCTTGGTGTGTGACTGCAGAGTTGTGTCCTTCATCTATAGATACACTATATATATAAAAGTATGTGGACACCCCTTCAAATTAGTGGATTCGGCTATTTCAGCCACACCTGTTGCTGACAGGTGTATACAATCGAGCACACAGCCATGCAATCTCCATAGACAAACACTGGCAGTAGAATGGCCAAACACTCAGTGACTTTCAACGTGGCATCCTATCATAGGATGCCACCTTTCCAACAAGTCAGTTTGTCAAATTTCAGCCCTGCTAGCGTTGCCCTGGTCAACTGTAGGTGCTGTTATTGTGAAGTGGAAACATCTAGGAGCAACAATGGCTCAGCCGCGAAGTGCTGAAGTGCGTAGCACATAAACATCGTCTGTCCTTGGTTGCAACACTCACTACAGAGTTCCAAATTGCCTCTGGAAGCAACGTCAGCACAATAACTGTTCGTCTGGAGCTTCATGAAATGGGTTTCCATGGCCGAGCAGCCACACACAAGCCTTAGATCACCATGCGCAATGCTGAGTGTTGGCTGGAGTGGTGTAAAGCTCGCCGCCATTGGACTCTGGAGCAGTGGAAATGTATTGTCTGGAGTGATGAATCACACTTCCCCATCTGGCAGTCCGACGGACAAATCTGGGTTTGGCGGATGCCAGGAGAACGCTACCTGCCTGAATGCATAGTGCCAACTGTAAAGTTTGGTGGAGGAGGAATAATAGTATGGGGCTGTTTTTCATGGTTCGGGCTAGGCCCCTTAGTTCCAGTGAAGGGAAATCTTAACGCCACAATGACATTCTAGATGATTCTGTGCTTCCAACTTTGTGGCAACAGTTTGGGGAAGGCCCTTTCCTGTTCCAGCATGACAATGCCCCCATGCACAAAACGAGGTCCATACAGAAATGGTTTGTTGAGATCGGTGTGGAAGAACTTGAATTGGAACGCTGACTTCGAGCCAGGCCTAATCACCCAACATCAGTGCCCAACCTCACTAATGCTCTTGTGGCTGAATGGAAGCAAGTCCCCGCAGCAATGTTCCAACATCTAGTGGAAAGCCTTCCCAGAAGAGTGGAGGCTGTTATAGCAGCAAAGGGGGACCAACTCCATATTAATGCCCATAATTTTGGAATTAGATGTTCGATGAGCAGGTGTCCACATACCTTTGGTCATGTAGTGTATCTCCTGTGACCTTTTTAAGACGTGCAGTGGCGTAGGAAATGACTCTTAACAGCACATACCCAGAACCCTCAGCTAAGTTAGATAACAGTCCACAGCTTTAATAAAACAATTATATGGAATGTTGGAATGCAGCAACCAGTAAACAGGTTTCCTCATTAGGGTCTTAGTGTTTCTACATACATGTGCAGTACCATAGTAGCATGAGTCAGAAATGTCTGGTTCTCTAAAAACCAACAACAACACTATCATACAAACCAAGACCAGCACTATCACCCCTTCAGTTCACTTTTTTTTCAATGGAAAAGTTGTGGTTCCCCTAGCCAAAGCCATAGCCAATTACAATTACAGAATGTTGGAAGAGTTGGGAGGTCAACAACGTTTTATAGAAACATATGATTCAAACGAATCCCCTCTAATTAATACATCACTTTGTGTAATTTCTAGGGAATTAGTGGAGTGAGTCTTAGTAAAAACAATGTGGAGGTGCTGGGAAACATGGTGTGTACTATGGATGGCTCCTACATCCAAAACTCTGACCCCTTCATTCTGGAGAAACTGAAGAACTGCAAGGACTTCACCGACGCTCAAGTCACTGCCATGGAAAAGCTCCTTCTTTCAGGGACGACACAGTATGGGTATGTGAATGAGAACTTTTGTGAGCAAAGTTTATTTTTATTTTTATTAAATCACAGAAGTTGTACATGGAATAACAATACAATTTACAATATGAACTCTGTTTTCAGAAACACTGCTACATGGAATCAACAAACATTGGAAGACCTTGGAACCCTGCCACTGTATCTGACCCAAAACTTCTGGAGCCTGTTCACAAGAGTACGTTTACGCTTGTAATTTTTTGTGTTTACGCCTTCATGTTATTTTTGTAAAAGGGTGCAAATGATTGATCTAAAAATGTTTGTTTTGGTATTCACAGGAGGTGAAAGGGAAGTTCCTCAAGTCCTTTATGCCCCAGCTGAGGAAGCAGGAAACACAGAAGAGGAAGCTGAAGACACTGTTCAAGGAGATCAACTCACTCAGAAGATCCAAGCGAGGAGCAGGTAAACCCACTATGCGCTAATCATCTTGGAGAAAAAGCTTAGAGAATTAAACATTTGCTATGAGACTTTCATGAGTAGCATATTTGCATACTGTCTGGTGTTTATGTGTGTGAACGTGTGTGTGCATGTAACTTCTCTTTCTCACCTTTGGTTGCATTTCAAAAGGATGCACCACTGGCAACATCACCCAGTCGGTCATCGCAGACACCTCGTTCCCCTTCGGCTATGACGTGACCCAGTTTGACCTCTGCCTGGACACCAGCATTTTGAAAGACAATCTGGCCACTGTCACTGAAAGAGTGGATGATAACGACTTCCAGAAGATTATTTTAGTCAAACTAAACCAGGTAATGATGATGTCAATATGGCCGTCTGACATTCGTTTTCTTTGACTCCCAGAATAGAATGGAATGGAAACGATGATTATATTCAATACACGGTAGTGGCCGTGTATAGATATGAAAAGGGATAGGTAGCAGAATGTCTTTACTCTAGGAAGGCAGAGGACAATAACCATAATAAATGCATAATTGTGTTCCACAGGCTTATCCATCGGGCATTGTTGACGAGCAGCTTAAGGTGCTGCACTCTGTGTCTCGTGTGGCCACTCTTGATGACATCACAAAGTGGACTGTCACCAAAATCGACACACTGTCAGCACTGATGGCCTCTGGTGATGGTTCATGGGAAACAGCAAAGGTATATTAAGGAAAGAGACGTTTGTACTTTGTACTTTTTTTTGTATGTAGCTTTTCTCTAATACAGGTCTCTCTCTGTTGATGTATTCAGAGTAAGGCAATCATCACAACATACTTGAACACGTCAGGTAACTCCTTGGGGAGCTCTGAGTTAAATGCCATTGGCTCTAATCTGTGTTCTCTGGACGTGAGCGTACTGAAGACCATCACGTCAAGCAGCCTGAAGTGAGTATATCTGACCTGCTCAGCAAAAAACGGCTAATGAATTATTTCGCAGTTCTGTTTACCAACTCATGGATAACAATGAGACAATATGTCAGCTAAACTTTAGTCCTTGATAACAATGAGACAATATGTCAGCTAAACTTTAGTCCTGGATAACAATGAGACAATATGTCAGCTAAACTGTAGTCCTGGATAACAATGAGACAATATGTCAGCTAAGCTGTAGTCCTGGATAACAATAACAGTTTTTGGTGTTTCTCATTTATCTTCTAAGAAATGCCAATTCCCTGGATGTGACCTCTTGCTCCATTGAGCAGAAGAGGGCTGTATACAACATCAGCAAGAGTTCCTTTAGCTCACAGCGTACTGCTAATACAACATATTACCAACTCATCAGCCCCTACCTAGGTAAACACACACACCAGACCTAAGTATTTGCTTTCTTTCACTTACTTTTGGTGCGTTTGATTTAGCTTGCCTGGTGGGCCAGGTTTGTAATTTGTATGACAATTTGAGGTTCTCTATTCAGTTCTTGCTGAAAGTGTGCGTTCCCTTTTTGCCAGGTGGTGCTCCCATTGAAGACGTAAGGAGCCTTGCAGCTCAGAACGTGAACATGGACATAACCACCTTCACAGGTCTTGAGATCGCTGTAGTTACTGTAAGTATGGGGGGCGTTGGAATAACCCTGGACCTGCTCTACCTGCTGCTACAATGTAAATACAGGAAACCTGTTTCATCTGTTCTTTATTTATTTATTTAACTCAGAGTCTGACCGTGAGCGAGGTGAAAGGACTTCTGGGTACTAACGTGGACGATCTGAAGACGTTTGAGAACGACACGGTTGTTCAGGCGTGGGTAGCCAAGCAGCTGCAATCTGATCTGGACACTCTGGGGCTCGGCCTGACTGGAGGTAAAGCAGCTTCCACTGTGGTGGTGCCAGCCGTGGTGGACCCACTCAACACCACCACCACAACCACAACGCCAGCACACACCACTGTCACAGTCCTGCCACTACCAGCCACCACAACTCTGGGTAAGGAAACATGGACTGCCCACACTTTACATTACATTTTAGTCATTTAGCAGACGCTCTTATCCAGAGCGACTTACAGGAGCAATTAGGGTTAAGTGCCTTGCTCAAGGGCACATCGACAGATTTTTCACCTAGTCGGCCAGGGGATTAGAACCAACGACCTTTCGGTTACTGGCACAACGCTCTTAACCACTAAGCTACCTGCCTTCCTACATATTACATATAGGCATTATTCCTGATGAACCCTTAAAAGGCAATCAGCAGTTGCTATATCCATCTTTGGACTCCTAAATTAATGCTATACACCCATTGATTCTAGAATAATATAACTTATAAATGTCTCATGAGCCTAGTTCAACTGTCGTCCCCCGTCAGAACCCCAAATAATAATATTTTTTTTACTCCATTGTTTGTAAACGATGTAATTGTAAACAAGCACTATATAGCCACATAACGTGGTTAAAACTATAATTTTGAGATCACGGATGGTCAGTCCTTGTAACCATAGCTCTGTCTAAGAATTTGAGAGTGGTTGCATTTCTCCAGGCCCATCCCCCAGATTTTTCCCACAACAGTGGTGGGGTGTCTCATTTGTTATTGTTTCAACTAAGGATTCCCCCTTTAAAGAGGACTTATAGAATGATCTTCTAACAAGTCGACTATAAGTTCTTAGCACTGCTAATACTTTTCTGTAAGAACAAAATAAAAAAAAGTGAGAGGTAAAGTGGAAACACTGCCTAACGTTAACTGAATATGTATTAACGTGTTACAGGGTAATTACATAGGATAATTACATAGGATTCCACTGCTGGGTACTCTATGTTAAAGTGTCTCAAAATGATTTCCCAATCACAGATGGTGTAGCTGATGGAGGAGTACATCCTGAGAAAGACCTGGTAGCCCTCTCTCTGTGTCTGGCACTGGTCACCATCATCCTACAGATGATGTGAGAAGAGATGACGAGACCGTAGTGTGGGCCAAGCATCTTCTAAAACTAACAGCAACGACACGTTTTTCTTTTAGAATTGTTGAATCGTCTTGTACTACTTATAACCAAGTTTACAAATATTTTATTTAGCCAATCACGTTTTAATCATTTATTGTTTTATCATTCTTGTTTAACATCACTCTTGTACGTAATTATCACAAGTATATATCTATGTATGTGTTCTTATAGGAACATTCCATTAAGATTGCACATAGCACTTTACATGTTTACATATTTAAATGATCTGTTGTTGTCAAGGAATGTAAAATTCATGAAGTATGTACACCTGTCCTTGTACTTAACCCACAATATTACCTATGTAAAGTTTGGGCTTTATTCAGTCAGTATCGCTGAAGGTAAATTCCGATTTAGTCGACATATGCAGTGTTTACCGTGAATGCAGTCTCTGCTAACACGGAAACATTGCCTTTAAATTTGAATCACGCTGTAATGCCGAACTTCCACGATACGGATTACATAGAGCCCTTTATTCATATTTTTCTTCAAATTAATAAAATGAAAATATACCATCGGTGCTCAGCTCACATTACTGGATAATAAAGGGTTGAAACATTATAATACAATACATTTCCGTATAGCACACGTCACTGTTACGCAGTATATTCTGCTTGCAGTACTTCAGGTGAGCCACACGGTGACAGTGTAGTATATTCTGCATAGTTGTGAACAGAAGTAGTACTGAAGAAGATGAATAGAAAAAATAAGTATTGTATTTAAAGTCCTGGGAACTGCAGTAAGTGGGGTCGCCCCAAATATATATATATATTTTTTAATTTAAAAAAATTACAAATACAATATATATATATATAGTTATATTATTTCGTAATTAAGAGTACAGATTAAAGGTAATTTGACAAATAAAATGTTATTGACTAGATGTATTTACTGGTTTATTTTCATTTTGATAAGAGATGAAAATGCTATTAATTGAAGGTAATTTTGTTTTATGTAAAAAATGTAATTGACCGATTTTAAGGTTTAAAAAAATATATTTGGGGTGGGGTCACAAGAAATTCTTAGGAAGAAAATGGGTCCCAGCTGAAAACGATGTAATACCACTGGAATAGAACATGTACTTTGTATGCTGGATGTAAGGCTGATGTCAACATCTGACCCCCCATAGAAAAACACTTCAATCTGTTTCTTGATGGATAGACGTTTTCACGTCAGTTGGGCTCCACTTGGTGAGCTGTATTATACTGTATCCTATTATATGATCAAATGACAGCACCTGATTTGTTCTGCACTCAAACCAAGAAGCAAGAAACTAAACAAAAACGTTTTAAAATCCCCACATGGATACAGTATATAGAAAAGCGAATGTAAAGTACCAGGATGTAACCTGTAATGCTTTATAGTCTATGAACCATTCCATTTACAGGGTACATTTACATTTTAGTCATTTAGCAGACGCTCTTATCCAGAGCGACTTACAGGTAGCAATTAGGGTTAAGTGCCTTGCTCAAGGGCACATCGACAGATTTTTCACCTAGTCGGCTCGGGGATTATAACCTTTTGGTTACTGGCACTCTTAACCACTAAGCTACGTACCGTCATTTACTCACAACCCATCTTGATTACTGTCTTTAAACGGCAGCAGCTTTTTATCATTTACATGTTAGTCATTTAGCAGACGCTCTTATCCAGAGCGACTTACAGTTAGTGCATCCATGTTAAAGATGGCTAGGTGAAACAACACATATCACAGTCATAGTGAGTCCATTTTTCCTCAAAGTAACTATCAGCAAAGTCAGCGCTAGTAAGACAAGACAAGTGTTAGTGCAAAGAAGGGACTGTGGGATTAATCAAGACACTCTTTATCAAGCTGAAGTGCAATGAAATACCCTGAAAATGTCACATAAATGTATGATTTTTCCAGCAAAGCATCACCATAGCACTTCTTCTAATCTTACGATTCTAATTGAAGTATTCTGACCAATCCCCACTTGGTCTGTAGTTTATGCACACATAGTGATGCACATCCACTGAAAAAGGAAAAAAAAAAACTGTGTTGAGATTTGAGTAATAACACAATTCATTAGTCATATAAAATAGAAAACAGTGAAATCACATCTTAACATACTGAAGTTGCTCTGGATAACTGCATATCAGACAGTTTAATCCAGCAGACAGTGTAATCGGGGACTTGTTGGGTGTCCATTTAGATAAGAAAATACTGTCTGCACACTAGTGACCTTTGGTTAACACAGAGTTTTATGTTGTTTAAAAAAAAGGAAAGGTTTGATGTCTCCAGAAGATCCACCGTAGCGCAGAGCAATCAGGTTCAGCAGGTCAGCCTGATCCCTGTGGAGGAGAGACAGGCCTCAGCTCTATTCCACAGGTATTCCACAGGTATTCCACAGGTATTCCACAGGTGTTGTGCGTCAAATGGACTGCTGTACAGTCATAACGGTAACTTTAATCCATCCGCTCATGCTAAATGACAATCCTAACTCTTCAATCGTGTACTGATGTCAATGAGCTGTAAGCAGGTACTGTGGTCTTGATATCAGTACTAGTGTCTCTCTGTTCAACCGCCTCATTTTGGTCATCAAATACTTGGAATTTCCACGATGATTGATTTTCCTCTCTACACACCTTGGAGGAGATTTTCTTTCAGAGTCCTCTGAAGCTGTTCAGCATCCACCTCCTCAAACTTGAAAACCAAATTAGTGTTATTGATTTTTTTAAATAGTTTATCGATTGTTAGAAACTAGTAATATTCTCAAATGCAAAACATTTTTCTCAGGTTATGTGTTTTCCTTTTACACTGTAGTTTCTGTGTGGCTCGGTAGCTAGTGCGTGGCGATTGCAATGCCAGATAATTCCAATGATGAAGATATGAAGGAAAACCCCAAAGGTATTTAAGGCAACGAGTATTTCATCAGTCACATTTGAGTTGATGTATTTCTATGTCTCTGATGTTGCTTTTTCTCTTCCTTTCTTGATATCTTATTACAATATATTTAATTTCTTAGCCCACAGCTACTGACAATAGAGAAGATATGGGGAACAAACAAACTCTGTTTCGGTAATATTCTGATCAGGCAAGTTCAGAGATTATTTTTAGTTCAACAAGGACTTGCAATTTACATTTTTGTCATGTAGCAGACGCTCTTATGCAGAGCGTTTTACAGTATGGAGTGCATACATTTTCATGCTGGTCGCCCGTGGGAATCGAACCCACAGACCTGGCATTGCAATCGTAAAACACATACAGTGGGGAAAAAAAGTATTTAGTCAGCCACCAATTGTGCAAGTTCTCCCACTTAAAAAGATGAGAGAGGCCTGTAATTTTCATCATAGGTACACGTCAATTATGACAGACAAAATGAGAAAAATAAATCCAGAAAATCACATTGTAGGATTTTTAATGAATTTATTTGCAAATTATGGTGGAAAATAAGTATTTGGTCAATAACAAAAGTTTCTCAATACTTTGTTATATACCCTTTGTTGGCAATGACACAGGTCAAACGTTTTCTGTAAGTCTTCACAAGGTTTTCACACACTGTTGCTGGTATTTTGGCCCATTCCTCCATGCAGATCTCCTCTAGAGCAGTGATGTTTTGGGGCTGTCGCTGGGCAACACGGACTTTCAACTCCCTCCAAAGATTTTCTATGGGGTTGAGATCTGGAGACTGGCTAGGCCACTCCAGGACCTTGAAATGCTTCTTACAAAGCCACTCCTTCGTTGCCCGGGCGGTGTGTTTGGAATCATTGTCATGCTGAAAGACCCAGCCACGTTTCATCTTCAATGCCCTTGCTGATGGAAGGAGGTTTTCACTCAAAATCTCACGATACATGGCCCCATTCATTCTTTCCTTTACACGGATCAGTCGTCCTGGTCCCTTTGCAGAAAAACAGCCCCAAAGCATGATGTTTCCACCCCCATGCTTCACAGTAGGTATGGTGTTCTTTGGATGCAACTCAGCATTCTTTGTCCTCCAAACACGACGAGTTGAGTTTTTACCAAAAAGTTCTATTTTGGTTTCATCTGACCATATGACATTCTCCCAATCCTCTTCTTGATCATCCAAATGCACTCTAGCAAACTTCAGACGGGCCTGGACATGTACTGGCTTAAGCAGGGGGACACGTCTGGCACTGCAGGATTTGAGTCCCTGGCGGCGTAGTGTGTTACTGATGGTAGGCTTTGTTACTTTGGTCCCAGCTCTCTGCAGGTCATTCACTAGGTCCCCCCGTGTGGTTCTGGGATTTTTGCTCACCGTTCTTGTGATCATTTTGACCCCACGGGGTGAGATCTTGCGTGGAGCCCCAGATCGAGGGAGATTATCAGTGGTCTTGTATGTCTTCCATTTCCTAATAATTGCTCCCACAGTTGATTTCTTCAAACCAAGCTGCTTACCTATTGCAGATTCAGTCTTCCCAGCCTGGTGCAGGTCTACAATTTTGTTTCTGGTGTCCTTTGACAGCTCCTTGGTCTTCATTAAAAATCCTACAATGTGATTTTCAGGATTTTTTTTTCACAATTTGTCTGTCATAGTTGACGTGTACCTATGATGACAATTACAGGCCTCTCTCATCTTTTTAAGTGGGAGAACTTGCACAATTGGTGGCTGACTAAATACTTTTTTTCCCCACTGTAACCTGAGAAAAATGTATAGCATTTGAGAATATTACTAGTTTCTAACAATCAATAATCTATTTAGAAAATCAACAACACTAATTTTGTTTTCAAGTTTGAGGACGTGGATGCTGAACAGCTTCAGAGGACTCTGAATGAAAATCTCCTCCAAGGTGTGTAGAGAGGAAATCAATCATCATGGAGATTCCAAGTACTTAATGACCAGAATTAGGCGTTTGAACAGAGAGACACTAGTACTGATATTAAGACCACAGGGATGGAGTCAGTGATGTAGTGGTGAAAACAATAGTTGGGTAAACTGCGTTTACTTGCATTTACCCTCCACTGCACCA